CACACAAAATCTCCACCAGGCATGATGTTCTATAGTCCCAGAACTCTCTGGCACTGGGGAGATAAAGATAAGAGAACCACTTCAAGGCTAACTTAGACTATATTAGACCCTGTTTCAAAAAAAATCTTTTTATTGAACTTTTGTGAATTTCATACATTTTGATCATATTTAGACTTCTACCCCCAAAAAAAACTTAACTAAAAAATCAGTTTAACATAAAGGTGATGGAAGTGAAAATTTCCTAAGTCCCAAACTATTCTCTTCCCTCTAATCTATTCTGTGATTATACATGTGGACTACATGTGCAACCTTTCTGGAGAGAAGTAGCCAGTGACTCATCTGAAATCTGCTTCAAGGCCTCTTGCTACCATGAGAAAACAACAAAAGAAGACAGTGATGGTGGTGAACACCTGTAATTCCAACACTTGGAAACTGAAGGCAAGAGGATCAGGAGTTTTAAGGTCATCCTCAGCTATATAATGAATTCAAAGACAGCCTGGGCTAGGTGAGACCCAAGCTGTCTCAGAACAGCAGTAGCAGCAAAAGTTCAATGAGCTTTATAGAGGACACCCATGGGTAGTGTCTGTTTAGCATTCACAAGGCCCTGGGTTCAACCCCCAGTATGAGAGAGGGAGAGAATGAGAATGAATGAATGGTGTCTTCTGTTCCCAAGCCAGGTGCCACTGTGTTGGGAAGGTCCTGTTAAGAGTAATGTTACGTGTTTGGCAGAAGTACAGGTAAGCCTTGGAAATTCTGTAAATGTTACTTCCATTTTTTATTTTTGTAAGATGTATATGTTTCTTTTTTCAAAACATTTTTTAGAACTGTTATACATATATACATATATACCTGGCATGGTGGTGCACACCTTAAATCCCAGCACTTGGAGACTGAGGCAAGTGGATCTCTATGAGTTGGAGACCAGCCTGCTCTACACAGGAAGTTCAGGCCAGCCTCGCCTACACAGTGAGACCATGTCTCAAAAAAACAAATAAAGGACTTTTATTTTGTGTGGTGTGTGCATGTGTGGAGGTCTGAGGACAACTTTCAGAAGTTGTTTATATCCTTCTACCATGTAGGCACCAGGGATTGAACTCAGGTCAGTCAGCAGGCTGGGCAGCAAGCACCTCAACCTGCTGAGCCATCTATCTGGTCCTCTTTCAAAAGTATTTTTTATTTATTTATTTTGGGTCTCACTGTGTAGCACTGGCTAGCCTGGAACTCACTATGTAGACCAAGCAGGCCATGATCTCAGAAATCCACCTCTCTGCCTCGAGGTGCTGGGATTTAAGGCATGCACTACCATGCCCAGCTCAAAAATTTTAATAGAAGACATTAAGCACATTCAGTTCTTCTTATATATTGGAGAATCTCAAAATGTGTAAGTGGCTGTATGTGTTTAATTATGGCTCAGGGTGTCCCTGTAGTCCCAGCTGACCTAGAACTCACTATGTAGACCAGACTGGCCACACAGAGATCTGCCTGCCTCTGCCTCCCAAGTGCTGGCATTAAAGGTGTGCGCCACCATACCTGTCTCTAATGAACTTTTTGATTTTTGTTTGCCTGCTTATTTTTTTGTGCTGGGGATTGAACTCAGGACCTTACACTTGATAGGCAAGCATTCTTACTACTGAGTCACACCTCCAGCCTCTCACTGATGAATTCTAGGCACATGTTTTACAAGTACATTTATCCAAACTAGTAAATAATTACACTCAACTGTTTCACACACACCTCTGCTAGAGATAGAATCCAGGCCTCCTAGGCAACCATCCTACCACTAAGCCATGCCCCCAGCCCCTCACAGGTGGGCTCTAAACAAGTACTCTACCAAAAATGGTGTATATATAGGTATCACTACACCATTTAAGTGGAGGCATTGTTTTGGTTGGCCATGTAGCACAGGCTGGCCTTCAGTTCATGGTGATCCTCCTGCCGTAGCCCACCCTAGTGCTGGGATTGCAGAACTGAGGCGCCATACCCTGTTTTAGTGGGGGGATGGAAGGATGGCAGTTCTTTGAGACAGGGTTTCACTCTACAATCTTGGATTTCCAGTCTCCTGCCTCAGCCAAGTGCTAGGATTACAGGTATGTGCTATCATACATGTTTTCCTATATGTAGTTCTAATAGGATTAAAGCTCTGTACAGGTTTGATTTATATCACGACCCCTCCACACAAACACAAATAAAGGCCGGTCGTGGTGACCCACACCTTTCATTCAAGCACAGGGAGACAGTGGAAGGCAGATCTCTGTGAGTTCCAGGCCAGCCTGGTCTACATAGTGACTTCCAGACCAGCTGGTGCTACATAGGGAGACCCTGTCTCGAAGCAAACAAAAGTGTTTTAAAATGAAACTTTTATATAACAAGACTGAGGTTGTTCACAAAGAGTTGAGCAAATGAATTTCCTGGCCTTTCTGTAACTGGAACATATGAAGCCAGTGCTAGGAACCATATCCATGATCCTGCATATCCTCCTGTGGGAAGAAGACTCTGGAAGGCCTTTTTTGGACCTGAGTCGGATCCCAGTACCCACATGGTAGAAGGGGAGAACTTACTGTCACAAGCTGTTCTCTGACCTCCACACATATGCACTGTGCCACCCATGTGACACACACAGAAACACACAAATTTTTTAAAAGAAAAAATGTATATGGATTAGAAATAGTGAAATACTTAAAAAACAGTGTCCCGTGACAGGTGTCTTTTCTCAGGAACTGTCCGTTTTTCAATTTTTATTTTATGTGTACAAGTATATTACCTGCATGTATGTGAGTACACCTGTGTCATGCAATGCTGCGGAGGTCGGAAGAGGGCTTCGGATTCCCCTGGAACTGGAGTTAAGGACGGTCTGTAGCTGCCATGTGGGTGCTGAGAATTGAACCCGGGTCCTCAGAGCATCTCACTGGCCTGGAGCTCACCAAGCTAAGCTAGGCTAGCTGGTCAGCAAGGCCCAGATCCACTCATCACTGTCTCCCCAGCACTGGGTTACAAGTACATACTACCATGTTTGACTTGTGGGTTCTGGGAATCAAACTCAGGTCCTCCATCTTGCAAGGCAAGCACATTACCAACTGTCCTAGTTTCATTCCATTGTTGTGATAAAACACCCTGACAAAAGTAACTTAATGAAGGAACGGGCTTATGTGGCTTACCGTTCCAATTACAGTCCAAGCAGGAATCTGAAGCAGTCACTTCACATCCACAGTCAAGAGCAGAGAGAAACCAATGCTCCCATGCCCCCTGCACCCTCGCATCCTCCTTTCTCCTGCCTTTTAAAAAAATATATTTTACTTATTATTTTTATGTGTATGCGTGTATTGCCTGCATGTAGGTAAGTGCACCCATGTCGTACAATGTCCCAGGAGGACAGAAGAGACTGCCAGATCCCCTGGATCCGAGGACAGTTGTTAGCTGCTATGTGGGTGCTGGGATTCGAACCCCGGTTTTCTGCAAGAACAGCCAGTGTTCTTATCTACTGAGCCATCTCTCCAGCCCCCTTTTCTCCTGCCTTATATAGTTCAATAACAACCCACACACACCCCCACCCGCCCAGAGCATGATGCTGCTCACCATGGACTGGTTGCTCCTTTATCAATTAATCGAGACAGTCTCCCACACACATGCCCACAGGCCAATGTGATCTAGAAAACTCTTCAAGTGAGGCTTTCTTCTCAGGTGATTCTAGATTGTAACAAGTTGACAATTAAAAAACTAACCATTGGGGGCTGGAGAGATGGCTCAGTGGTTAAGAGCATTGGATCTGGGCTTCAGTTCCCAGCATCCACATGCAGCCTAACAGTCTGCAACTCCAGTTCGAGGGGATCTGATGCCCTTTTCTGGCCTCTGCAGATATTGCATGCATAGGTATACATACATAACATGTAAGCAAAACACTCATACACATAAAAATAAAATCTTTAGAGCCGGGCGTGGTGGTGCACGCCTGTAGTCCCAGCACTTGGGAGGCAGA